GATTGCAACTGTCCAGTGGTATGTCTTGAAATCTGGTATTGTGATTCCTCTGGCTTTGTTTTTGTTGTTTAAGATGCATTATCTGTTCCAGCATTTTTGTGTTTCCATGTGAATTTTCACATCATCTTTTTCTAGATCTGAGAATATCATTGGTATTTTTATTGGGATTGCATTGTAATCTGTAAATTGCTTTGAGTAGAATGGACATTTTGAGTATCTTAATTCTTCCAACTCACAAACATAGTTTTTTTTTATATTTTTGTGCCTTCTCTTATTTCTTTCTTTAATGTTTTGTAATTTTGATTGTAGAGATCTTTCAGACCTTTGGTTAAATTTATTCCAAGGTGTTTAAATTTTTTGTAGCTATTGTGAGTTGTACTGAACTTACAAGTTGTTTCTCAGTCATGGCATTATCTGAATATAAAAAGGCTACTGATTTTTTATGTTGCTTTTATATCCTGCAACTATTCCAAACTCATGAGGCCCAATATTCTTGAGTGGAGTCTTTTGGTTCCTTTATATAAGATCATGCCATCTACAAACAGGGATAATTTGATTTCCTCCTTTTTAAATTGTATATCATTGATTTCTTTTTTCTTTCTTTTTTTTTCCTAATGGCTCTGGTTAAAACTTTCAGGACTATATTGAATAGCACTTGTGAAAGTGGGCATCCTTGTCTGGTTCTGGACCCCACTGCTTCCAACTTTTCCTCATTCAGTATAATTCTGGCTGCAGATTTGTCATCTATTTCCTTGATTGTGTTGAGGAATGAATGCTCCTTCTATATCCAATTTGCTTAAGGTTTTTATAATAAGATGTTGTATTTTATCAAATGCTTTCTTTGCATGTATTGAGATAATCATGGTTTTTATTATTCAGTTTTTTAATGGGATATATCATATTTATTAATTTGCATATGTTGAAACATCCTTGCATTCCAGAGATAAATACTTGGTCCAGGTGGATAATCATTCTAATGTCTTGTAGGATTCGATTAGCTAATATTTTATGGATGATTTTTGCATCTGTATTCATCAGGGATATTTGTCTATAGTTCTCTTTCTTTGTTTTATCTTTTTTCTTGTTTTGGACTTAAGGTGATGCTGGCTTCATAGTAGGAATTTGGGAGGATTCCCTCCCTTTTAATTGTTGTGAAAGTTTCAGAATTAGAATTAGTTCTTCTTTAAACTGTTTTGTGGAATTCAACAGTGAAGCCATCTGGCTCTGGGCTTTTCTTTGTTGGGAGGGTCTTTGTTACTGATTCAGTCTCCATCTTGCTTATTGGCCTATTTATGCTTTCTATGTCTTCATGACTCAATTTTGATAGATTGCATGCTTCAAGAAATCTATGCATTTCTTGTAGATTTTCTGATTTGCTGGCATATAGCTGTTTGCAGTAATTCCTAATGATTCTTTTTATTTCTGCGGTCTCTGTTGTAACATCTCTTTTTTTTTAAAAGATTTATTTATTTATTTGAAGGTCAGAATTACAGAGAGGAGAGGCAGAGAGAGAGAGAGAGGTGCTCCATGTGATGGTTCACTCCCCAGCTGGCTGCAATGGGCAGAGCTGCACCGATCTGAAGCCAAGAGCCATGTTGGATTGTTCTCTCCCTTTTAATTTTATCAATTATTATTAGCAGACACTTGATCTTATTTATGTGATCCTTTTGACATTTAATGCTATCTTCATGATCATTTATGAACTTAAACTGATCACTTTAACTAGTAAGATGGTATTGGTACCTGCCAACTTAATGGGATTTGGAGTCCCCTGGCAAGCTTTTAGCTTTACCCTTAGGGGTAAGTCCAAGGGAACATGTGCCAAACTGTACATCTCCTCCCTCTCTTATTCCCACTCTTATTTTTTAACAGGGATCAATTTTCAGTTGGATTTAAACACCTAAGAATAATTCTGTGTTAAGTACAGAGTTCAACCAATAGTATTAAGTAGAAAAAGAAAACACTAAAAATAAAATAGTAACCTGTTCCTGGACAGCCAGGACAAGGGCTGATCAAGTCATTGTTTCTCTTAGTGTCAGTTTCTATTCTATAGGTTTCCTTTTATGTACTCAGTTAGTTGTCACAAATCAGGGAGAACATATGGTAATTGTCCCTTTGGGACTGGCTTATTTCACTCAGCATGATGTTTTCCAGATTCCTCCATTTTGTTCTAAATGACATGATTTCATTTCTTTTACCACTGTGTAGTATTCCATAGAGTACATATCCCATAATTTCTTTATCCAGTCTTCTGTTGATGGGCATTTAGGTTGATTCCATGTCTTAGCTATTGTGAATTGAGCTGCAATAAACATGGAGGTGCAGATAGCTCTTTTATTTGCCAATTTAATTTCCCATGGGTAAATTCCAAGGAGTGAGATGGGTCATATGGTAGGGCTATATTCAGATTTCTTAGGTATCTCCAAACTGTTTTCCATAGTGGCTTTACCAGTTTGCATTCCCACTAACAGTAAGTTAGTGTCCCTTTTTCCCCACAATAGCTTTAGCTATTCAATGTCTTCTGTGCCTCCATATGAATTCAGGCATCCTTTTTTTCCAGATCTGAGAAGAATGTCTGGTATTTTGACTGGTATTGCATTGAAATTGTAAATTGCATTTGGAGGAATGGACATTTTAATGACATTGATTCTTCCAAACCATGAACATGGAAGATTTTTCCAGTTTTTGGCATCTTTTTCTATTTCTTTCTTTAAAATTTTGTAATTCTCATCGTAGAGATTTTTGACATCCTTGTCTAAGTTTATTCCAAGGTATTTGATTTTTTTTTGTAGCCACTGTAAATAGGATTGAGCTTAGAAGTTCTTTCTCAGCCAGGGCATTGTCTGTGTATACAAAGGCTGTTGATTTTTGTGTATTGATTTTATATCCTGCTACTTTACCAAATTCTTCTATGAGTTGCAATAGTCTGTTTAGTGGAGCTCTTTGGATTCCTTAAAAAAGAATCATTTTACTGCAGACTGATAATTTGACTTCTTCCTTTCCAATTTGTATCACTTTGATATCTTTTTCTTGCCACGTCTCTGAGTAAAACCTCCAGTAACATATTGTATAGCAATGGTGCAAACAAGCATCCCTGTTTGGTACTGGTCTTAGTGGAATTGCTTCCAGCTTTTCCCCCATTCAGTATATTTCTTGCCATGGGTTTGTCATAAATTGCTTTGATTTTGTTCAGGAATGTTCCTTCTATACCCAATTTACTTAGAATTTTCATCATGAAAGAGTGTTGTATTTTTGAAATCCTTTCTCGGCATCTATTAAGATAACCATATGGTTTTTCTTCTGTAGTCTGTTAATGTGGTGTATCATAATGATTGATTTGCTAACGTTGAACCATCCCTGCATACCAGGGATAAATCCCACTTGGTCTGGGTGGATGATCTTTCTGATGTGTTGTTGTATTCTATTGGCCAGAATTTTATTGAGGATTTTTGTGTCTATGTTCATCAGAGAAATTGGTCCGTAATTCTCTTTCTCTGCTGAATCTTTTTTAGGTTTAGGAATTAAGGTGATACTGACTTTGTAGAAAGAAGTTGGGAGGATTCCCTCTCTTTCAATTATTTTGAATAGCTTGACAAGAATTGGAGTTAGTTCTTCTTTAAATGTCTGGTAGAATTCAGCAGTGAATCCATCCAGTCCTGGGCTTTTCTTTGTTGGGAAGGACTTTATTACTGATTCAATTTCTGACTCACTTATGGGTCTTTAGGTTTTCTATGTCTTCATGGTTCAATTAGGTAGCTTGTATGTATCCAGGAATCTATCCATTTCTGCTAGATTTCCCAGTTTGTTGGCATACAACTCTTTGTAGTAATTTTTGATGACTCTTTTTATTTCTGTGGTGTCTGTTGTTACATTCCCTTTTTCATCTCTAATTTTATTGATTTGGGTCACCTCTCTCCTTTTTATGGTTATTTGGGCCAATGGGGTGTCAATTTTGTTTATTTTTTCAAAAAAAGCAGCTCTTTGCTGATCTTTTGTAATGTTTTTGGATTCAATTCTGTTGATTTCTTCTCTAATTTTAGTTATTTTTCTTCTCCTATTGGTTTTGGGTTTGGTTTGGTTTGCTGTATTTTTTCTAGATCCTTGAGATGCATTGAAAGCTCATTTATTTGGTGCCTTTCCAATTTCTTGATGTAGGCACCTATTGCTATAAACTTTCCTCTCAACACTGCTTTTGCTGTATCCCATACGTTTTGATATGTTGTGTTGTTATCTTCATTTGCTTCTAGAAAATTTTTGATTTCTCTTTTGGTTTCTTCTATGACCCACTGTTCATTCAGGAGCCTGTTGTTCAGTCTCTATGTGTTTGCATATGCTCTAGAGTTTTCTGAGTTGCTGATTTTCAGCTACCAAAAGAATGAAGTTGTAACATTTGCATCAAAATGGATGCAGCTGGAGAATATACTGGTGAGTGAAATAAGCCTGAGACAGAAAGACATATATCACATATTGTCCCCTATGTGTGGGGGCTAAAATTTAAAAATAAAAACAAAAACAAAAAAGAAATGCGTGTATCAATATTGCTGCAAATATAATTTTGTCAAACTTTATATGTTTGACAAATCAATGACTGAGAATGATATACTACAATTTCAATGATCTGTCATTATTTTAATATTTACTGTATATAATTGAAATGGATATTGTTTTATTTGATTATTATTTATAGCCTGTTGAACTATGATTTTTTTTATTTGTTGAACTCTTTATTTTGTGGAGCATTAAGCCTTTGAGTGTAATGTAAATTTAAATGTCATATCAAAAATTAAAAAAGAAATGAAGGAAGGAAGAAACAGAAAGGGAGGAGAAAGGTAGAGAAATAGTGCATTCTTTGAATTGTGTCAACAAACTACACTGAATAGGAATTGTATTGTAGTAATTACCATGCATTTTCCATGACTTGAGAACCCAATGTATCAATAAAGTCCTCATAAAACAAAACAAAGCAAGCAACAATAAAATAAACTGCATTTTGACTGCAGACCAATTTGTTCATTGGGCAAGCATTACTTCTTTGCTCAGGAACTGCAGATCTTCCCTGGGAAGCAGAATTGGTGCAACACTTGGAGAAGCAACCTCAAACTCCAGTGTTGAGTCAAAGAAAACAGCCCAAAGTAAATAAACTGCACATAAGTCTTCTGTAGGGAAAGCCCCTCCCCCTACAAACAGCAAGCCACTAACAATGCCAGGAAAAGTGCTCCCTCTACTGGTAGAGCAAATAAGCTTTATCACATACAGGCCCAGATCCTGGTACTTTTGGAGATTCATCATTTGCAGAAATCAACCACGCTTTTCATCTGGAAGCTGACTATCCAAAGGCTGATGAGGGAGATTGCCCAGATCTCAAGACTAATTTGAAGTTCCAGAATGCAGTCATCAGTGCACTTCAGAAGGCTAGTGAGTCACACCTAGTGGATTTCTTGGAAAATACTAATTTGCATGCCATTTACACTGAGAGTCATTATCATGTTGAAAGTCATCCAGTTGGTTCACTATACATGGGGAGAGAAAGCTTTAGTGGAGGCAGTTTTTGTGGCATTTTATAGTGAATTCTATAAAATACTTTGGTTTAACTTGTGACTTTTTGTAAGAAATTTCTTAAAATGTATTGCATTTGCACTGTAAATTGTCATTACATCTTGCAGTATGAATATAAAAAACGTTCACAGATCTCAGGGATGTGAATCCTGTTGCTCAGGAGTTACATTCCTAATATGCAGAAAAGATGGGTGTTATTTCTTGCTTTCTTGATGCATGCTGTTGTGTGTCAATGACTTGTGTAGCTATTAATGTACTAGGATTGATTAAAAATGTATTCATGACATTTTCAATCAAACTGGTTATGGCTTGATCCAGATGTTTAGTGACCAGGGATATTAAGTCTGACCATACATAATGGTGCTAGAACATGGACTTTTACAATGGTGAAGATCCAAGTCACAACTACAGTGTATCTTACAGTTCCCTTAAAGAAAAAGTAAATCTGGCAGCTATAGAATACACTATGTGCATTTACATATTGTAGTGTCAATATTTTAAATTAATCTTCTACATTCATAAGTGGTGGAGAGTCTTGTCACAGACACGTACCATTTACATCTGGTTTTCTAACTAGACTGCACTTGTCTTCATTGTAGTAAAATGCCTTGTGCAATATACCTTGCATAACTCCTCATCCTACCAAAAGTTAACTAACCCTCCAGCTGGTAATGAAAACAGTAACTGGAGGATTCCATTTGTAAGTGTTTTAGAATAAAATACAATTTATACACACCAGAATTCTGTTGTTAATATTATCATCTAGTTGGTGTAGCTTTTTGTGTTGTGGTTGATCTCAAAACAGATTTATTTTCTCTTCTACCTAGAGGGAACAATGCAGATGTTCTTTTTTTCTTGTGAAATTTATAGTGCAACTCTTAGTATAAGCCTGCTGTGGAGGCTTATACTAAGCAAGCAGCACACACCTCCAGTTTATGGAACCTTTGCCAATTAAGATGATGGCTGGTTAGGTTATATCTGGTTATTGTCCTAGGAAAATCACTTTCCTAGAGATAGCCTTCCAAGTGATTTTAAAACTTATCTTTCTATTGAAGCTTTTAGGTCAATTATGTGTGATGACTGAATTTACAAATAATCTTTTTTATCAAAAATAATGTACTTAACTACAAATATATATAACAATTTGTCAGTTACAAATAAAATGTTTAAAAAATAAAGCAAAGATTTGGGTGGGAATTTTGGTACAGGAGTTAATCCACTGCTTGTGATGCCTGCATCAAATAGAGCCTGGTTTGAGTTTTTGCTGCTGTACACTTTTGATTCATCTTCTTGCTAATGTGCCTGGGAGGCAATGTACGATGGCCAATATGGTTTGATGGCTACCACCCTTTAGGAGACCTAAAAGGGGTTCCTGGATTCTGTCTTTAGCATGGCCTAACCTTAAATTTTGTGGGCATTTGAGAACTAAAACAGTGGATGAAAGGTATCTTCCTCTGTCCCTCCTTTTTTCTGTCACTATGCCTTTAAAATAAGGAAATATTCCAAAGTCAAAGGTTTTAATGTGGGCTTCAAATAAATACGATCAAACAATATATTGTGTACAGAAGAAGAAAGCTTTAACAGATGCAAAAAGCTGAAAATTTAAGTGATGAAACAAAGATATACCAAAATGTAACAGAGAAGAGAGTTATAGTGGTTGGCCATTTCAATAATGGACAGAAAAATTTTAAAATAAACAGTGTCACTAAAGATAAACAGGGACATCCTTTAGTAATAGAAATGCCAAACAATTTAGATAAGATAGCAAATATACATATATATTTCTCCTACAGACATGCTCAACATTATAGGAAAAAGAGACAAAGGGATCAGCAGAGTCAGCAATAGAACTTGGATTTGCCAGTATCCTTCTTTTAGTGATGGATGGCATAACTATGAAGAAGACTGAAAAGGATATGGAAGATTTGAATACAATAAAGCAACAAAGTTAATTGATATACACCACACCAATCAAGAGAATATGCCTTTCATTTAGATGTGCATGATGTGTTTTCCACAGAAAACAACTTGCTACATCATAAAGTCACCTGAATAAACTTTAAAGGACTGAAATCATTTAAGATATTTTCTCCGACCACAATTAGGAGTATTTGTCTAGTTGTTAAGATAATGTTTGACATATCCAAATCAAAATCAGGGCACCTGAGTTCAAGTCTTGGCTCGGCTCCCATTACAGCTTCCTGCTAATATGCATCCTAGTAGGGAAAAGGTGATGGCTGATGTAATTGAATCATTGCCACCCATATGGAAAACTTGGATTGAATTTCTGGCTCCATTTTGCCTAGATGAACTCCAACAGTGGTGAATATTTTGGAAGCAAACCACAACTGACAATCTCTCATTCTCCCTCTCACTCTTGCTCTTGCTCTCTCTCTTTAAAAGATAAATTCTAAAAGCCAAAACCAAAAGGCTACTTGAGAAGTTGAAAAATAGGTGAAAAATAAGCAGTGCATTCTGAAAAAAAAAAAAAACAGGAAGTAATGTGATGGAAAGAACCTCAAGGGAAATTAAAAAATATTAGGAAAGGATTGACAATTAAAATACGGTATACAAGAACCCATGTGATTAAAAGAGTGGTTGATGGAAATTATGAGCTATAAAAATCTGTTTTATGAAGAAATACATAAAATCAATAAGGCAGACTTCCCATTTAAAAAACTATAAAAAGCTGGGAAAACTAAACTCAAAAAAAAGCATCCTAAAGAAATAGACTACAGTGCAAAAGGACCATTTGTTGTTGAGACTTGGGGCTGGGTCAGCACATGGGAGCTGACCCCTCTGTCCATCAGTGTGCCCCCTACTTTAAACCCAACCACTACTCCCGAGTTCTTTAATGGATTCCGTTGAAAACTACAACATCTGCTCCTTCCCTTGATGAATGATGGATGCTGATATAACAGCTATATTGTCCCTAGTGCTAATTTGCTGTCTGCATTGAGCTCATGGAAGTGAAAAGCTTGCTGTCATCACCCACCTGATCTTGTCTACACATCTACTAGCTTGGCTTGCTGGGTGAGGAAATGTGCAGGGTGTAGACCACGCTGCAGTTGTAAGCAGTGACACTGGATATCATAGATGCAGGCAGGACATTTGAGAGAATGGGGTTATGGAATTAGCAGGGAATATGGGATACTGGCACTGCACATAGCTTAACCTGCGCTGGCAGCACAGGGCCTGGGATCCCCTGGTGACCTTATTCCCAAACTCCCCTGTCCTCATGGTCCTCAACTCCAGCTGGCAGCAGCGCACCCCGGGGTGCAGCGTGAGGCTGGAACTGATGGGCACCACAGAAGGCCACCCGTAGCTGGCCACTGGGCTTGGAGTCCAGGTGGCCATCATAGTCACCAGCCTGCTCAGAAATTGGGGATTCCCGCTGACTCCAGGTGCCGTGGGACCCACCCCACATACATCCATCACACACACCCTGAGTCCCATAAACAATCAGTAAATTGTAAGTCAGGTGAAGATTATTGCAAGCTCTGGAGTTACAAGATCTGAACGGGATTTTGGACAATGCAGGCAGCGGAGCTCCCAGGAGATGGGATCCTGAGGGCGGGTCAGCGGCCCCTGCTATCAGGAAGGCCAAACTCCCAGTAAGGCAGCTTCGGACCTTAGGCCAAGCCCCGCCCCTCACTCTCCTCACCCCGTGCAACCCCAAGGGACCACCCTCAGGCTAGGATTGGATACATCTTTCGTGACGTCATGCCTGCGCATTATCCAAACTGTTTAATCTAGCGCACCAGGGCGACATGGAGACCCTCTGGGGATTCTCTTTCCATTGCTGCTGAATTCAGCTTCCTGGTTCTGCTCCTGAGAGAGCGCGGGTCAGCTCAGACGCTTCTACTCTGAACTTCCCTCACCGCAGGGCCCTGAGTGGATGCCTGGAGTCCTTGGAAGCTGGAAAGAGGTGAGTGTGTGAGGTTCCCTGGCCCACAGGAGGTGAGGTGGGCCAGCAGCTGGGACCCCGGTGTGCTGCCTGCCTGAACCCTGGGCCTCACCTTTCCAGATTGTGTGGTGAGAAGGGAGAATCTGAACTTCACGCATGACCTAATTTCTTTGAGTTGGGCAATGGGGTCTCAAGTCTATAGCTCAGCTTTCCCTAGGGGTCTGAATCAGTTTTCTTGTTGAGCAGACTCAATATGCTAGAAAGAAATGGTATATTTACCACACACTTTTGGTCCAGGGATGAGGGGCAGTGTGTGATGGACTTTGCTGGTGGAGGCTTGGGATGGCACAGACACCACGTGGACGGATGGAGTGTGGGAGAGGCCTATCTCAAGTGGCTTCCATAGCAGACTGCTGGGGAGAGACCATTATCACATGAACGATTTACTCTGAGATGAAGAAGTGCTGGAGATCCATTACACAAGGATGTGTTTGCGTGTGTATCGCTACTGAACTGTGCATGTAATGTTAAAGATGGTAAGTTAGTATGTGCTTTTATCATAATTATAAATTGGGGGTTATTTTGCTTGTGAGATGCTGTATCCAAATCCTCTTGTACCTTACCCTAAAAATGGCCCTGCCTGTGGTCTTAAGTCACTCTGAGATTTCA